ACGCTTATGAGTAGCCCATACAAAAAGTAATATCCCAAGACCAAAATAAACAACCTATCAAATTCAGACTTAAATTACTCCACTTTCCCCCAAAACAAGCAAGCTCCCATTTTTGACATTCTCATTGGTTGGTTAGTCGTAAGCCAAAACATTGATCTGAACCAAATCTTTCAATCGACACTTCTAACAAAAAATCTATCACTTCCATAAGATTTAGGATGTCCAAAAGTGCCTACCCACCAAGGTTTACCCCAAAATTCCCTTGTTTGACCCTCCATCAAGCCATTATTTCATTTTAGCTAATCTTATTAATGCGAACTTGTCAGCCATGGATCTCCATGATACTAACCCTATTTGACCAACCATAATTCACCACTGTGTTCAGATACTCAAAGAACCCTAGTATGCCAAATTTTGTGACCAAACTCCTCTATTTAACCGTTAAAAAACTGAGATTCTATTTTGGGCCTTCTTGTTACTTGATAAACTATAAGCCAAACCCTTAATCTGAATCAAATCCTTTAATCCACACTTCTGACCAAAGATCCATCATCTCCATCAGTTTCAAAATGTTTAAAAACGTTTATCCACCAAATTTCATCCCAAAATTCCTGTATTAGACCCATTATTGAGCCTGGATCCTATTTCAACAAATCTCGTGGATTAAGAGCTTACCATACATAAATCATCATCCAAGATTTATTTGATTGATCATACCTCACCACTATATCCAGAGACCCAAAAAAATCCAACATATCAAATTTCTCAACCTAATTCACTCATTTACCCATTAAAGTAGAAAGATTTTATTTTAACGTACCAAATTAAATCGATACATCAACTGTCCCAACCTGAGACCTCAAGAAGGTGGGGGATGATGTTAGACCTATTCTTGAGCTACTCAAACACGTGGACTAATGAAATTAAGCCGAATAGACCCAAAAATCTAAAAAACACAAAGATAGTTTTATCTAAAACTAAGAAAACATAAAGTACCATTTGTTAGTGGGTCAAATTTACATTTTATATCACTAACTTCAAGTGCAAGACTGCAATGGCATGCATGCCCCAATCTCCCAAGTCGAGGAGAATCCTTTCACCAACAAGGAAAGGTTGATTGAGCTCCTGTTTCTATGAAAAATCTTGGTTATTTTCTTGTAAAAGCTCTCTTGAAGACCAAGATCTTTGATTGGATGAATTTCAAGCCTCTTCTCCTCATTTTCTCTATAAATAGAGGCCCAAGTCAAGCTCTAGGGGTGGAGTTTTTGAGGGACTAAAGAGGGGAGAAATAGGGGGAGATCTTAGAAGCACTCCAACCTTTGTAAAGCTCCCATTTGTGAAAAACCCTAAACATTATAACCTTAAACTTCAAAACCACCTTCCATGTTCCAAATCTAAGATTGGCACGAAATCTCCAAGTCCTTAACACTTTCAGACCCTCTTGAGAACATTTAAACACTCAGTTCGTCTATTTTGGCCACTGAAATTCCATCAACAAGGTTACATACAAGCTATAAGCCTCTCATTCCTTCATTTACTTAGATTTGAAATCTCTATTATTGTTAGTTCAGTTCTGCGTAGTTTGAAGTTCTAAGATTTTGGAGAACTTGCATTCTCAACTTCTTTTAAATCGAATAAAGAGGTAGAGATGCGAGGATCTTAGGGAGCATCTTTCTTTAAATTTTAGAAATTCCAAAAATTGTTTTTGTTGGTTTTTTGCCGTAAATTAAGCCTAAATAACTCTCGTATTGGGCTACTACAACAATTTAGGAAGAGAGGTGCCCAACACCTTTCCTCTCCCAATCCTTGGGACCCAAAATCTTTTGCTTGTGTGCATTTTCATGTGGAGAACGAAATCATTATGAAGACAATAAATAAATTTTTGAATATGAAAATGAGAACCCATTTTCTTTAAAAAATGGGTGGTGAATCCATCTTTTTGAATTGGCCATGAGCTTCTTGGAGCTCATAATAATGCTTCAGCATTATATAAGTTTGTTATAGAGAATGTATAAGAGTATGAGAGTTGGTCTAATGAGAATGATAAAGGGTAAGAATATTTATAGGAGGTAGAATTAATTCAATTAACTAAAATACCTTTAAAAACTAGTCATTTTATAATTGTTGGGAAGGGTATTTTGGTTATTCACAAATTTAATTATCATTTTACCAAAATGCCCCTTAAACTAATTATTATATAGTTATTAGGGGCATTATTGTCATTTTTCTCCCCAAAGTCAAAATGCATAAATACCCAAAACTAATTGTTTATAGATATTTGAAAGGATATTTATCTAAAAAACCCCCAAAAAATAAAAAAAGAATAACCATTGAGATTCTTGGTGGGCCGGTGTAGGCCGTAGGGGACTGGCTTCGTGCCGTATTTGTGCTATGTTAGCAGGCCTTGTTGGCCTGACCCAGTTTGTTGTATGATGCTTGCGGGCCTCAAAACCTAAGCTCGATACGGCTGGGGTATGGGCTGAGCCCAACTGGTTCATGTTTGACATGGCCATGTCATGTCGGTATAGTTCTACCTTCAAAATGACTTGAAAAAACACCTGTCACTCTTTTATTGGATATCCCGACAGCCGATCCATGCGACAGGGTGATAATGCAACTTGCAGTTGGTTGTAAACGGGATCTGACCAGAGTCCGTGTTTTGTGCTCTCGTGGGTGAACTGGACACCTGAGCCCCCCAATCAGATGTGACAGCGTCTACATTTCGAAAAAAACTTTTAACGGATGTTCAGTCATTAGATCAATACATCCGGTTCAACCACCTGCAAAAACACAAAACTCAAAAAGTAAGGTTATGATCATTTGAACTCTCCCCTCCCCATTTCTTGTCCTCATCTCATTCGAGCCCTAACCCGAGCATCTCACCGGCCACCTTTAGAAGCCCATTCCTGACCCCATCCCACCACCATGCCTCCTTCCAAAAAGAACATCATGTTCGTCAGTCTTGCCCCGTGAGCCCACACCAGAACACTGCATCTGTTCAAACACCCCAGAAAGCTCTCGTAAATTCGCCCTCTGATATGGCGAAGTTCTAATCACATGTTACCTTAATCTTTCTGCCACCCTCACTAGATCGTCTTCATTCACAAACATTCTCGTTCTTTTACGTGAAACAAGAAGAAATGCAATTCGCACACAGAGAATTCTCGTAGACCTACATTGCAGAGAATTCTAGTGTTGTAGCCTTTTCTTTCTTAAATTTCATGGAAGGCTTCAATATCTCTGAAGTAGAAGCAAGGAAGAGAAGAAACATGACTGTTAATGGCGAAGAAACTAACATCTTCCTTGCGTCAAAATTTAAACCCACCATCATCAGATACTGAAACCTGAAAAGAACTAAAAAACAAGCTCTTCAGCTCACACTATAAAGATTAAAAACAAAAAATAAAACGTAAACAAACAAATGAATGAGCAAAAATCGAAGTGGTTCAACAAAAAATAGAAAAGAAAATAGATAGTTACCGGAAAAGAAGATCAAAACCCACTTTGCTACTTGAATGAACTAAATCATCAAATAAACCTCAAATCGAGACAAACACGAGCTTAGGGAGAGAGAAAGAGAGCATCTGACCAGCCTTCAACGTGGAACGAACAAGGAAGCGAACGTAGAACTAAGAGAGGAGACCAGAGAAAACTTTCTTCATCAACGAAGCTGAATGGAGGCTATGGAGAAGCCGCCATGCAAAAACAAAAAAGCTCGTTAGTTAATGAATGAAGTGGGGAAATACTACTCCTGGAGCTTGGAAATGCTACAAAATATGCTGGCCGCCATTGCAAACTCGCCATTGCCGGTTGCTGTTAATCGTTGTCAGTTGGTGTGTGTCGCTGTCGGACATCGGAGATGCTGGCCGTCGCAGATGGTCGGTTGGGTGTGAGGGCTGAGAGGAGGGAACATGAAGGGTTAGAACGAAAATGGGGGTTCTAACCCTAAAGGGCCTAAATATTCGATTTGCGATGAGTATATTGAAGTCATTTTATTTTTTGTTTTTGTTTTATTTTATTTAAAACAATGTAAATAAAAAGGATAACCCGTGAACTGCTGCTCGGATTGAACGGTTTTAGCAGTCCAACCCCCCGGGTCAGCGGTTTTCTTACTTTTTCATCATTTTTAAAGAATTTCCGGTTTATAGTATAACCAAACTTGGGACTGACCGTTACTGGTTTTTCCGGTCCGACCGTCCATTTTGGTCCAGTTTTGAAAACCATGTTGGAGACACCGCAAAGGCTGGTCAGAGACATTGAAGCCTTCTAGGGCTTGAATGCATTTCTTCTAGAGTTTGAATGTGTGCGAAATACATTCTCGTTCTTCATCGCATACATGCATTGCAGAGAATTCTGGCATTCTTGGAGACATTGAAGTTCCTTGCAGAGAATTTTGACGTTCTAGGGCTTGAATTCACAGTTTCAACTAAGAGATTTTTTGGAGGAGTGCTTCAAGCTCCGGTGAATCTTCATGAATGCATCGTTGCTCTTCTCTAAGACATCTTATTTTTTTTCTATTCCAATCCGACGGATTTAAAGACAACGAAGAAACGAAAGCTGGAAACCCCTTGAGGCTGAGTGAGGAGAACTTGCAGACTTGAAACGAGATGAATTTGAGCTTAGGAGGGTTTTGAAGCCCATAAGATAGGATCAGTGGTGGCTGAGAAGAGTGGGGTCGAAGAGGAACGGAGGACATGAATTCCAGGGAGGAACGGACTTGAAACGGGATGAATTTTTGCATCCGGTTCGACCGGATACGTCCAGGTAACGGGTACGTCCGGTCGACCGGATACGTCTAGCCCCATCGACGTTTCTTTATTTGATTGGCAGGTTCACGCGTCAGTGCACCCACGGGTGCACAGAACGCGGCCACCTCTTGATGTAACGCCGTTTGGTATGGAGTTATGGGACTCGAGGTAAAATTCCTTTTCAAGTCCAAATGCAGACGATCCGAACTGTGTACGTGCGGCTGTTTTCAGTTTCTACGTGTCAAAACTCACAAGCTGAACAACGGCTGGCAAGCTAAGCAGTTTTGCTTGAAACAGAACACAATCGCAGTTTCCCTGTTGCTTGGTTGCCTGGTTGGTATACCAGACATTCAACACCGCCCCTAATTCCATAGTTCTCGGCATAGTTGCATTGCTTCACGAATCATACAAATTACACAGACTACGTCGAGTTTAAGGATTTTCAGTTGATCTTTTGCTTAATTCAAAGGGTATCCCAAGGTTTTTGCTCATCGAATTTATGCATCACCTTTTAGATTGATCTTAAATGTTTTCTTCCTCTTAGGGTAAACTCTTCGAACCTTTTGACCGGAATTTTGCATTTCAGTTTTCTCTTCATTTCGGAGGGTACCCATCAAGTAGTTTCCGCTGTTTTTACAGAAATCTCTTTGGGTTGCTCTTTTGGTATCTGCTCCAATCTGGGGTTTCCGAAATTCCATGAGTTTAAATTGAATTTGGGGTCGCGAGCTTGCTTTTGTAGTTTTGTTTGAGTACTACTCCGACAGATGTGTGCTCGTAGTTGAGAAGGTTTGCGAACTTCTGCTGATCCCATCGGATTTTGCACTTTTCTCTCGTCCCTGCTAATTGATTTGGAAAGGAAGAATACTTTTATCGAATGATTAATCGGAAGTTCAATTGAAGCTCATGATTTTCTCCATTTATTTATAGAGTTGCTTCGGAATCATCTGCATGGCGAATTCCGAGGCAAGTGGTAGAGTTTATGACTCTGGAAGTGACAAAGTTGGCAGAGAATGCGAGGGGGAAGCTGCAGTATCAGTGTTAGAAGGAATGTCTTCATGCGGGATCCAAGAAACATCGCCTGATTTACTGAAGAATACTCCTTCGAACATCGCACGACTGGAAGATGTTATTGAGCAATGCAAAGGTAGACAGAAGTATCTTGCACAAACTAAGAGTCCTTCTGATGGAGAAGACGTTCGGTGGTATTTCTGCAAGGTTCCTTTGGCAGAGAATGGTGAGTTCAGGTGACATGAAAATATACAATTCTAATTAAAATAGAAGTGGTGACTCTTTGCTCCATTTTTACCTTGTTGAACTTTGATGTTAAAAGAAATATGATAGAGAGAAGGCTGTATTCTACGCTCTTGCTCTTAAACAACATCTAGTTACATGTTCTTTTTTAGATCTTATGATGTAGATATTTAATCCCTTTATGATATGTTACCCATGTGTTGGGGAACAATACAACAACATTATCACTCAATTAATCACATAATTGCTGTGTCACACCCAGAAGTCACATATAACATGCTTCTTGAAGATAGTTGAAATCTCCTACATTTTTTTTTCAAGGCATTCATGGCAACACTGTTCTTGAGATTCAACTGAGGTTGAACTAATCCTACCTGTTGTGAACTTTTACTACTCATTGGGATGAGTTTTACTTCACAATGCCCAAAAATGTAAAAACCTTTTCATAAATAACTACACAGATTACTTGAAAAACTCATGAAAGTGTTTCTCTTATTAAGTCCAAGTTGTTTGGGTTATTGGTCTATTGGTCATCAACAACCCATCTCAGAAATTGTGTTCCAGGAAAGTCACAAATAATTTAACTTCTTCAGTATCAACTATATCTTATTCAAGTCTTAGACATGAGAAAAAATGGTTCATTAAAGTTTCAAACTTGTAATATGGTTCTTATCATTTGAGTTCATACTTGAGAAAGAACAATTTGATTGATAAGTCTCTTCATGAATATTTCAAGGAAAGGTTAATGTAGCTGACACCATATGGTTGGGACAAGGATTAATTGAGTTGAGTAAAATTAGTTAATGTCAAAAACATCTTTCACAATAGAGTGCCAGGAACAAATCTCACAATATAATATAGATGGCTAGACGCTACATCAAGGAGTATACTCAGTTATGGAAGCCTCTTAAAGATGGGAAAGTGACATGTCAAACAAAGTGGAGGGTCTTAAAGAGAACATTCAAAGAGGAGAAAGAGGGGTAGCCTATATTTTCATGCTACACAGTTTGCAATTGCCGATCTCCTCCACATGGACATGCTTCTTCATAGTTAATGACCTTGGTGAGTCTATCTCATGTTCAATCCAATTCTACACAGCCTTCTAAATTGAGTCTCTTCTCCTTTATATATAGAGGACAGAAACCATGGGTCCTTACTTGGGGCTGAAACCATTGGCTCCAATGTTTTGAGCCTTCAAGCTAGGGTTTCAAACTGCAACACCCACAATGCCACCTGAAAAAAGTGCAGTGTGTGGATGGTCCATGTGACTCACTCATCCACCATGCAACCTTGAGGCTTGTGCCTGGTCTAATACAACCCAAGTGTAACCCAGTCATGTGACCTTGGCCCATGTGAACCACTGTAAACTTAGACCAGGTCTAATACAACTCCAATATGACCTGGTTAGTCAACCTAACCTCATGATCCACCAGGAGGATTTCAAGTCGAGTCCTAAACTGCTTGATCTCTTTTACATGGGTAAGGTTTTTGAAGATCGCATTGTAGTCATAGGTTGTGATGCAAGTTTTTGGTTAATTGGTAAGGGTGTAGAAATACACGGAATAAGAAAAGAACAAGACTACGGCCATGTTTGGGAGTGCTTAAGTTAAAAACAAGTGCTTATTCGAATAAGCACTTATTTTCATTTGGCACGTTTGGTAGTCTTTTTCTCCAATAAGTACTTAAATAAGCATTTGTGACTATTTTGTCCTCCATTTTCTTTCAAAATTTCAAAATATACCCTTATGAAAGCACTTTTTACTAAATTACTTAAATAAAAACACTTTTTATGAAAGCACTTTTATAAAAGTACTTTTACGAAGGTACTTTTATGAAAACACTTTTATAAAAACGCTTTTATAAAAACGCTTTTGTGAAAGCACTTTTATGGAAACACTTTTTATAAAAGTACTTTTATAAAATCAACTAGGCTTAATTTTATAAGTGGTGTTTTAAAATTAAACTAGGGATAATTTTGGAAGAAAAAAAAATTGAATAAGTGCTTATTGTATAAGCACTTAAAAAAAGCTGGAAATTTGAGCTTAAAAAATAATCCCTTATTTTTAAAATAAGTACTTATTTCGGGCTTATTTCCCAAATAGCAATAAGTGCTTAATAGCCCAAATAAGCACTTATTTTTAAGCACTCCCAAACATGGCCTATGTATAGTAGGGATTAGTAATACAATACATCGGGTTTCTTCACACTCCTCCTTAAACTGATGCCGGAACATAAGCATCGGTTAGCCCACAAGAAACATATGTCTACATCTTGTGGGCTTCGTAAATATATCAGCAATCTGCAAGTCTTAAGCTACATGAAGAAGAGAAATGAAGCCAGCAAGAAACAAGTCTCTAATGAAGTGACAATCGACTTCAATATGTTTAGTCCTCTCATGGAACTTGTAGAGAAGATGGGCCGAATGGCCCATAAGCTGTTTATCCTTTTTTATCTTTTATGTTCTTTGCTGTAATGGGCCTTAATCTGGGCTTATTCTTTCTTATGTTATGTCTTTTTAATTTTCTGCCCAACTAGGGGCTTCTCTATAAATTACCAAAGTTTAACTTAATAAAATAGAATTAAGGGTGTAAGAGAAGAGATTATGTTCGAAAATCTCTCTCTCTGATCCCAA